GTTCAATGCTATCATTTTGGAGATTAAAGACTTGAATACTAAGTGGGCCATTCAAGTATTTTACCTCTGAGGTTAGACATGATAATTTTAGGTACTCATTGACTAAAAATAAGCTATAATAGTTGTATTAACTTTATGAGAATGGCTTAAAAATTTGCTAATGCAAAATAAATTATGGCTACAAATAGGTTTGAATTACATGAGCAACACCCAAAACATCCGTGAGGTGAAAATAGGTGGATTGATTCACTAAGCCAAAGGTTTTATGACAATTGTTAGGCTCATAGACAGCAAAAAAGAAGAGATTGACATAACAACAACAATTAAAGCTTTTCATTACAATCCAACTAAGACAAAAGCTCCAATAGAACCATTAATGCCATCATATAGCACTAAGCTTAAAGATCTAACTAGAAATCTAACAAAGCAAAACCTCCACCCAGCAACCAAACAACCAACCCTTGTAAAAGACATTGCAACTATCACTCAATTGAGGGGCACTTCATTGACGAGTGCATAGCTCTACAGAAGGAGATTGAAATGCTGAATGCTTGATAAATATAATAACTTCTCACCTCGCTAAAATCATGATCTATCCTCCAGTTAGTACAGTGAAAGTTTATCTCACCAGACTAAAAAAATTTGTAAGAAAAAACTACAAGAAAACATACAATTTGGGGGATTATCCATGTTATTGTAAGGGCTACTAAGGATTGGGCTAACAACAAATCAAAATGCAAGTCCCATTTTCATAATGGTGACAACCATCTAATGCTTGAAAATGAAGTTTCCCACACTTACGGGTGTAAAACATATAAAGAAATTTTTCAAAATCAAGTCACGACCTACTAATGCCACTTTTTGAACTATAAATTAACCCTAAAAAAAGACTAAACCACTAACCCATCCTAACCACTACCATCAAAAAACCCTGAAATAAATTTCAATCCCTCACCATTAGTTATGTGATAAACCCAACTTTAACCCAAACATTGAGTATTGAAAGTCTAGACGTAAGAAATGAAGAAAGGGAATCCAATATTCACCCTATTGAGCAAACAATACCTGTTCAACTTTACCCTCTAAATCCAAACCTAACTACCTAAACTGGATTTCTATTAGATGACAAGGCAAAGGGCATGCTACATAAATTTTTATAGAAAAATGCTTAATGTATTTACATTGTTCGTGATCGATATAGTTGGTATTAACGAGTGTGTTATCGTCATAACTTGAATGTTGATCTAGCTGTGAAACCAGTCAAGCTAAAGAAAATGGAGTTTGCCCTTAAGCGAATACAAGCGGTAAGAAAAGAAGTAGATTAGCTATTGGCAACTAGATACGTTAAAGAATTTAAGTATCCTAATTAGATTGCCAATGTGGTTATGGTGAAAAAGGCAATGGAAAATGATGAATGTTTATAGACTTTATAGACTTAAATAAAGGGTTCTCTAAGGATACTTTCATATTACCTTAAGTGGATAGACTATTGGACTCCTTTGCAGGCCACAAGTATTTAAGCTTCATAGATGCTTTTTCAGGATACAACCAGATCAAATTGATAAGGGTAGATTAGAAAAATATGTCTTTTATCATTGAGGATAACATGTTTTGTTACACAATAATGCCTTTTGGGATGAAAAATGTAGGGGCCACATATTAGAGATTAGTTAATAAAATTTTCTAGGAATAAACTGGGCGATCTCTAGAAGTGTAATAGATAACATACTGGTTAAAAGTCTTTTATTGGAATAGCATGTGCAAGATCTAGCAGAGGCTTTATCATATTGAGAATGTACAATATGACATTAAACCCTACCAAATGTACATTTGGTGTGGAGGCAAGAAAATTTATGGGTTTTATGGTTTCTAACAAAAGATTAAGGCAAATTGTAAGAAAGTAACATCCGTTGTGGACATTAACCCCTTAAGAACTACTAAAGATATGCAAAAGTTAACAAAATGAGTAATAGCCCTTAATAGGTTCGTGTCCAAGCTAGTAGATAAGTGCCTACCATTCCACAAGGGTTTTCAAAGTGCAACTAAGTTTAAGTGGGATGAACAGTGAGCAGTATCTCCATTCATCCCTTTGCTCACTAATTTTTTTCATGGTGAGTATTTGTATGTGTATTTGGAGCTTCTAATGAAACGATAATAGTAGTGTTGGTAAAAAAACCAAATGGGAATCAAGTTCTAGTATACCATGCTATTAGAGCTTTACAGAACGGGAGTTTAATTACATCATAATGGAAAAGATAGTTTTTGCGCTAGTCACGATAGCTCATCAACTGAGGTAATATTTTCATACACATTTTATAATTCCGTTAACAAACTAGCCACTTAAGAAAGTCTTGCAAAAAATAGACTCTTTAGGTAGAATGATGAAGTGAAGTGTCGAGCTAAGCTAGTTTGACATCAAGTATAAGCCAAGGAAAGCCATCAAGGCCCAGGCTCTAGTAGACTTCCTCATCAAGTACTCTTTCAGGCTTGAGGTAGAAACCCAACAACAAAACATTAAAAAACCTCAATCCCAAACTCAATCCCAAACTCAATCCCCAACACCACTCAACCCCTCTAGTACTATCCCAACAGATAGCCATGCAAATAATCTAGGACTATGTAGGAAAAATTTGAGGTCTCGCTAGGTATTCCAAGGAAATCTCGGGTTGGAGTTATTATAGCTTCCAACAATTGTTGCTGGGATAACATTTGCAGCTATTATTTTGGGGACTATGTTATTCTACTTCGTACATGGTATAGCTATGATAAAGGAGGATGATCCTAAAGGTAACAAATGGGTAAAGAGCATAAAAAAGAGGAAAGGCATCAAGGCAAGTCATCAGTTCAATGTCTGTCTTATAGGTTAAAATTTATGATATTTTTAGTCTTATTAGCTTAACAACTTTGATGCTTGTTATTAGCTTCTTGTTGAGTGGGTCAAATAAATAAAATTTCTTTTCTTTTATAATGACAATAAACAATACATTAAGATTATGTTTGGTACATAAAATTATGATGGGATAGGATAAGATGAAATTTTGAATAGAATTAAATAAATTAATGTGATCTTATGTTATATTTAATGTGTGTAAGGATTAAGATAGGATAATTTATTTATTGATCAAAATTATCCTTCTTCATAGTTTATATAATTTAAATTATTGATATAATTTTTTAAATTATAATAGGACATGTAAATTTAATTTCATAGATTAAAAATAATCCTTTTACTTTAGAAGAATTGAATCATCTTACACCAAAATAATGATAATCCTTCTTGTAATCCTATCCATTTCAATACAAATCAAACATAATATAAAATAATTACCATACTATCCTATCAATTATCTCATATATCAAACATAACCTAAAAATCTTTAAAAGTTTATATTAGTATTAATATGAATACCACGACATGTAATAAGTACATTTGATTAAAAAGTAACATGCCACATACATTCAACTGTAATTGTTCTATATTATTTTGAAATATATATAATTGTTTTTCATATAAAATTTTGTAGTTATTGTTACAAATTAAGTTTTAATCATTCAAAATTATTAATTATTATTTTAGCAAAACATATAGTTACTTTTTGTTTTTAAAAATAAAATATAAATAAAAAATTATTATTTTATATGTATGAGATAATATGTCATTGTAATTTTTTATCAACATAAAAATGTATAATATTTGGATTAGTATAAAAATTTATTTAATAGTATAATGAATAGAAGCGTCATGTTTATAATGAAAAATGGTATATATATAGCCTCATTGAAATTTTCTTTCTTACTACGTCACTGCAAATTTGTGATGTTTGTAGCCGTGTGCTTTAGAATATTTTGCAATTTTGCAGATATAGATGTCTTTAATACCAATTTATATATTTGCGTCAATACCTTACAACAATAACTTAGTTCGTGGTTTGTACCTATGGCTCGTAGATACTCTAAAGTTTCATTCCATCTCTCAAATCACTTGCATTGGCATCAAGAACGAAAGCATGCTGAGTTGAGACATCCATCGGCCGGGTTAGTCCAAATGTTCTTTGTTCATGATTGGTTTTTGGATCCTCTGTTTTATGTTTTTTTTTCAATATATTCTTACTTTTTCGGTTTCGTTTTGCTTATTTTGGTATGTTGACATTGTTTGGGAAGGTATGCTTTGTTCGTCATTCTATTCAGCTCACAATTTCCGACTTAGTTTGAAACCTCAGCTTCAGACAACGCCGGGGAGAGATGCTGGTCACCACATCTCATAGTTAAATCATACTTACGACTAACTCTTAACCGGGGCATCCTTATAATTACTTGACAAGCTCGGAACTCAGGACCAAAGCTGATGACCAACCACAATCAATTTGCAGAAATATATACAATGACAATTACAGCAGACTTCACACACTATAACATTATCTTTTACGTTCTAAACTAGATAAATTTCAAGGCAACAGCAACAATAGAACGCCCAATAACCCTAAACCCAATAATTAAACTAGATTAATTAATTACTTAATAAAAGCGTCCCAGTGGCCTGGCAATAGGATTTGATTAAAATAATAAAAAAAAATTCTGAATTTTTTATTTATATAAATTATTTTTCTTTTATTGTATTTAAACAAAACTTTTAACTTTTAATTTGTATTTAAATAAACTCTTAAATTTTAATTTGTACTTAAATAAGTTCTCAACATAAATCAATAAATCAATATTTTGTTTGAAATAAAAGTTTATTTGGATATAAATCAAAAATTAAAAGTTTATTTTTATACAATAAAAGTATAAAAATTTATTTAAAAAAATAAAATAATTTAAGAGCCTTTTTAATATTTTAACCAAAAGCTTTTTCTTTTAATTAAAAAAACCAAATTATGTAAATATTAAAAAATTATATTTTATACCTCAGCACTGTTGACATCATGAAACAAAAGCCAAAAAAAAATATATATATATATATATATATATTAATTTCCAAATGTAAGTACTAAGTACTATGAAACGAACTATTAAGTTTCAATTCGACAAACCTATGTAGCTATTGGATGTGAAAATGCACGTTGATTACATCAAGCAACCTAATGCAGGAATGAAGAAACAGAAAATCTTGCAACAATCTCAATGGCAAAGTGATGACATCAAGAAATATAAAAAGAAATAAAACATACTTGACTTTGCCATGGCCAGAAGCTTTTTAAGAAATAGAAAATTAGAATGGAAGAGAATATCCACGGAGATACGTTGAATCCACACCCGACTCCCGCACCAGCGCCACTCTTCCCGTCCGAGCCACCTTCAACAAATTAAAGCAAAAGAAAAGCTCCTGAATAAATAATAACGAAATGACGCATAAAACTGCAACAAAGCCAACAAATAAATTTCCTAGGAACAGAGTGCTCTTTAACCATCCCTATTAAGAATTCCCCGGGATAAGGAAAACGAATTATGGACAAAGCATGGTTAAAGAAAGAGCTAGTCCGAATGGAACAACAAAGGGATAAATAAATAAATAAATATATCTATATACATATATATATATATATATATATTCAGAAACTGGTGAGATGTATCATGTCAATCAAGACTACTGAAATTCCCATGGCCAAAACAAAAGGAATACTGACTGAAATTAAGTTCACACCAAGGTTGTCTAAACTTCATCTCTAACTGTAGATAATTGATAGTCTACTTACAAAACTTGTTAAGAAGCTTAAGGCACAAACCTCACAAATTCCATAGGGCTCTAATAGTCTCTGGAGAGCAACCATCTTGTTTAAATCACCTGTGAGCTGGAGAGAGCAGGAATACCTTATGCAATTAGATGATAATAGAAACTAAAAGGGGAGGCAAATAATGGCAAATCCCGAACTCATTTATCCAAAAAACAGACCAATGAAATCAAAGTTGATCAATTTCAGAAGCATAGTTTGTACATCTAACAAAGGTTGCGCTTGCTCACACTGATCCAGACTTTGTCACATATTCCTATGTTGTCATTCCTTCCAGAATCATTTAATTAAAAGGCTAAGAAATTATTAAAAAAAAAAAGTTGAACAAGGGTCGCTCTAGTGTACATAGCCAGGAACAATGGCAATGAAGTCCAATAAGTTGAACCTATCTAGAAACTCAGAGATAATCACCTCATATAGTAAGTTGAAAACCCTGAAAGAACTCTCAGAATCAATATTAGCCTCCCATATGAACATCTTAGGTATCTAGAGTTATGAGCCCACACCATTCTCGCATGAGGCTTATCAGTTTCTCATAACAATGATAAGGATTTGCAAACCAGAATATTGAATTGGGAGAATGATCATTAAAATATAGATTGTGAAGATTTTTCTTAAAAGGCAGAGGATGTAGCAGGAGAAGGCTGCAATATATGGAATTTGTGAAGGTGAAATAAGATAGAACAAGATTTGACCTCAAGAGTAATTGTGTGATCAGACACATCAACAGCTTTAGCTCGAAATATGCTAGCAATATCAAGGACATCCCTTCGAGCAGCAGTGTTCACGGCAACTTTTATCAACATCAACTCTCGTTCTGCAAATGGTAAGTGCGTCATAATCTGCACCTGAAGCACATTTTTGGTACAAGTCATTTTCTGATTCAGATTATAAAGTTGGAATAATGGAAATGCAGTATCACAATGTAGAATATGTACATAAGTATAATATGAACCATCTAACCAACAGCATTTTTTGGTAATCTATACCTCTATATGAAAACTGTCCTCTAAGGGGTTTAGTTGTTAACAAGTGTCCAATATTTGGCACCAACTCTTTTACCGCTTTCATATTATATAATAACCACTTTACCTTTAATAAAAAAATAACTTAAAATGCCAATAATAAAAAATTTGTTCACAGATGTCCAATATAAAGCAATGACTATTTTACTCCATATTATATAATAATCATTTTACCCTTAATCAAAGAAAATAATTTAAAATATAAAAAATAAAATATCCTAAAATTTTTTTAAAAAAATAAGCAATTACATACAATTCAACAGTCTCATTTTTAGCCAACAACGATAATAAAAAAAAAAAAACAATTCACACAAAAAAAATCATAAATTTGAGCTAAATAATAACAATTTAAATATTTGCTAACCCACTTATTTATTTATTTCTTAATTTTGCATATAAATTAAATTTATCAAATAATTAATTTATAAAAAGAGTAAGATTAAAAATAATTGAACAAATTAAATAATAAAAACTATCATTTAAGAAATAGAACACAATAGTTTTTTGAATAATTAAACAATTAAATAAAAATTTTTATTAAACAAATTTTGATTTCAAATAATTAAAATAACTGAGAAAATATAAATATATTATTCATTCATTATTATAGTTTTGTTAAAAATAATCAAAACCAATCATCAAATCAACTAGGTAAATATACTTTATATTAAAATAAAATTTTAATTTATTTATTTATTACAAAAAATGTTTAATCTCCGGCGTGGGGTGAGGAGGGACACTAGTAATATAAAATAGAAGCACCAATCCTGGACTAACAAGACTAGTAGTTTTCATACCGCCAGTCCATACTGTCAACAGTATACTCAAAGATGTTAAAAGATTTAATTCCACAAAATGAGAGTTGTTCAAGGGCTAGTTGATTTTCCATTTTTCTTTTTTCTTTTCCTCAAGTTATGCTTCTAGTTATATTTGATAACTTGAACTGAATGCTCTGAATTTTAGTATATTTATAACATGTAGATCACATGCCTCTCACCTCATAAAGATCTACTAATTTCTGAAGTTGCTGAACTAATTTTCCTATTGTCTCATCAGTTCCAGGAACAACAGTTGTAATGCGAGAAAGCCCTTCTCTTTCAGCAGGCCCCACAGCTAAACTCTGGAACAAGCAAGTCTTAAATGAGCAAATCATCAAAATTAGATGGCATAAAAAATGCTGCACAAAGCAAAACAAAGTCAACCTGAATATTATAGCCTCTTCGGGAAATAACCCCCGTAACTACATTTAGAACACCAGGAGTGTCATTCACGACCATAGATAAAGTGTGTGACTGAAGCCCACTTGACTGAAACGTTGAATGAAGCACATAAGAAAATAACGTGAAAAGGGAAGGTACAGAACAAGTTGAAATACAGATGTTAACTGCTGCTTCCACCATCCAAGACTTGTGTAGTCAAAAGTTGTAATACAAAAGCAAGTGCATGCTACAAATATTTAACCAAGAGCTTAGCTCAATTGGTTCATGTAGCTATCATTAAGAGGTAGCATTTAGTATGTATGGGGTTTAAATCTCAACACTTGCAACCTTTTCCCCTATCGCCAAGCTACGGCCTCCTTTGTGCAAAAAGAAATGCTACAAGCATTGTTAAAGAAAACAATTTACTAGCAAGAAAGGCCAATAAAATTACCCATTTAAATACCAAAACTGAGGATAAGCTTGAGATACAACAGTCTTAGATACTGAAATAACACTAAAATGATCAATGAATGTCTTAATTGACAACCAATGGAATGATCAGATACATGGTTCAGAACCAAGAAGCAACGATAAAGCTAAACATGATATTATGCAAATAAAGGAAAAACTCGCAAACAGCTCCACATCAGTAAGGACAACTAACTTGCTTATTGAAATAGATTATATAATGTAAAGAGTATCAGATGAAAAAAAGGTTTCTTACATCTTCATCATAGAGAACCCCCCAATGAGCATCAAGAACTTGATTTACCAGGAAGTCTTCAAAAGGTTCTACAGGATATACATCACCCTTCATGAAATAAATGAAAACTTGAGATTTCCCAATGTTGTAACACATGATCCATGGTGAAAGTACACAAAAATTATAAATCAAGAGTATAGAACAATGATAATGCAGATTCAGTAAAACATATGAACCAAGCTATTCAAATCTGCTTGCCTACTTTTAATTTATCCTTGGGTGGGACTTGGGATACATCAATAGGAAAATATTCAATGACCCAAACATCTAGTAAATGTCGTTTTCCCTTTTCTCAACTTTATATATTTCATTCAATATGAAATAAAACATTTTCATAATCGAGCTCCAAGCTGTATTCCATTTTTTGGTATACTCTGCTAGGTTTCAGAATCCCAAAAAAAAAAAAAAAGAAGTCATCATGTGACTTTAGAGTCCTATCCTACATGATTAAAATAATTCTCCCCTTTTCCATTTGATTGAGTGTCCTATATCAAGAGAATGACTACTATCCACGTCTTAAGGTGAACACCAAACTTGGATAGCACAATTTTTATCTATGTTACCTGGACTCAGGGTTAAGTGTTGGATACAGGTAAGTGTCCGATACAACTATGCTCAACTTTTTCTAAGTTTTCCATAAATTTGGAGGGTCTGACCTGCATACTCATGTCCAGATACATTTTGAACACCAGTACTTCAGGGAAAACAAAGAGTCAGAGCAACATAGATTTTTGTCCTATCATATCCTATCCTATCTATTACCCTAAGCACCAGGCTTACCCTCAAATCAAAAATAAAAACAAGTTCATAGAAAGTATTTAGTCTATCCATAGCAACCTCCAAGTCAGTTCCATAATGGTAAACATCCATGTTTAAACCTTCAGACCCACAGACAAACGCAGCTCATCATTACACCCTCCTCCCTCATTCAGTTCGGTTTGTCATTTAGTAGGTTGCTTTCCATAATGCTTCTTTCTAGGCATCAACAATTATTTGCCATTTAACTTTCACAAGTCAATTCAACACAACAAGGAAAAAATAGCAAAAACATCTATAGACCCAGAGCACTTTTTGCATGTAGTTGCCGGGGGGGGGGGGGGGGGGGAGGGGAGGGAATAGGAAAATAGGGCAAGGAAAGGAGAGTGAAAACCCTCAGGCTAGTGTGAACAGGTAATCCTCTTAGGAATTGGAATATAAATATGAATTTCTACCATAAGTGGAGATAAAATTATTTAGCAATGAACAAAATGACTTCTTGTAGAAGAACCTAAAAGACGCATGGAGAGAGAATAACATGCAAAGCCGTCTTGCTAGAAGTAAGAAGTGCATACCTTTGAGTATGCATTGGCATCTCGATTACGTAATCGTTTTGCATCCCTTATAACACCAACATCAGTTGATCTACCTTCAAGATCTGGATAAGAGGCAGCAAAAAATCCCCAAAAAGGAGCAGTCTCCCCCATCTTTTCACGCCTCAGAGCAATCTATCATGAATCATGATCATCATGCTAAAACCTCAGCAAACATAACGATATGATAGCTTGATGAGACCTCAGAGGTGCATCTTTCTATATTAGTATAATTCAACAACACTTTCACATCAAGTCACAACAAGTTCACAAAAGAATGAATTTGAGTAATACGTGAGAAAAGAAAATCAAAGTGAATCTTTTTTTTTCTCTCTCTCTCTAAAACGTGCAAGCACATTTGAAACAGAGGCAGACACACACAAATATATAAAGGCAGATAAATAAACATGGTGAAAGACACATAATGATTAAATATAAAGCCATGTTTCATTAACATTTACCATAACTTCATTTAAGTACATTTACAAATTACATCTATAAAAAATGCTAAAGAGAGGAAACATTACTGACATAATCCTTCTACCAACCCCACCATGCAAAACAAGAAAACAAAGAGTCAACTCTTAACATTAGAACAAGCCAAGCATATTAAATGAAAGAGGAAGAAGATACAAATCATCTATTATGGGAAAGAAAAACCCACATAGTGGGATTGCTGTGCTTAATATTATACACTAGTCACCTATGATGGATGTAAATAAAACATAAGAATTTAAAAACAAAAAGATAAAAAATCAGATTAAGAAATTCTTGCTTATTAAATTAAATTCCTCCTTTCTCAGTTTCCAACAATTGCTTTCTCCATTCTTGGAATAAAGAAATCAATTCCTTCATAAGAAAATGCAACTAATCCTGCAGTTGAACTTTGTGATTTAAAAGAAAAAAAGCTCAACCCACTAAATGCACCCTATCAACAATGAATAGATGAGAATATTTTCAGATATATGGTCACCCCAAGGATGGTATCAACTCCTTACAAAAAAAAAAAAAAAAAACGGAAGAACAAAATGAAGTGATAGCATCAGAATGCAAATTTACATAGCCGGCACCATCAACTCCAATGGACATTCCGAACAGCTTATACAAGGCTTGGTTCTTTATAAAGACTTTGCAGCTTGACAATTGTATCTAAAATGCAAACCTTGATCATTTGTGTTTAATCCCATGCACGAATTATTTTGTACTTTAAGAAAATGATTAACATGACTTCATGGTTGTTTATTTCTCCCTATCTTTGTGTAGTTGTTCATGAATTAAAATATAAATTTCATACCTTCCCAGTCCTTGCAAGTTCTTTTATCCCAAACTTGCTGAAATTTCTTTGAACAGCTGCCATCTTTCCAGGGTCTCCAGTGACCTGAGTTATGCACATGGATTAAGATGATAAACAAATAAGGAAAAAAAACAAAAATATATAGATCAATTTTTCTGGTCAGGCTGACGAAGTCACAAACAAAAGCACATTAAGCAGCTTTTCATTAGATGATCCATCCACAATGCCAATGACAAAAATTACTATGACAATCACAATGTCAATGAAGTACTGAGCTATAATAATAAACTGATTCAGATGAGAAGAGGAAGAATTACAGAATTAGAAGAAAATTAAAGGGAGTAATAGAGGAAAGTGAGGAAGAAAAGGGGAATAAGGAGAGCAAATCAAATACTAATAACCCAAATCCTAAAATCTCAATTTATGGAAAATAACTAAAAAAACCCAAACCAACCAGCCCCCCTACAAACATAAGATGGAAAGTTAGGGCAAGATTGAGATGAAATTCTTTGCAAATCATCTATTAAAAAACTTTCAACAAAAATGTTGATAAATAATAAGGTAGAATATATCTAAACAATAGTATCAAGATGTTTCTATCTATTGATTTTGATTTTTTATTTTTATTTTTATTTAATCATTTTTAGTAAAAAAATTTCACAAACTTCACTTGAAAAACTCCATCTAAGTCTTTCCTAGAAAGTTGGTAGGCATACCCATATAAAAAGCTAAGATTTGCACCAAGAGGACACTCAAATTCAATATACTATTTACAAAATCATACATATACAGATAAAATTAATCATAAGATATAAAAGTCACCTCAATGGTAAAAAGTGTTCTGAAGTATCCACAATCTTTGCTCTGAAGATGTCTACAAGCCACATGATCTAAAAGGTAATGCACAAATTAGAGAGAGCATGCCCAGATGTACAAAAAGTAAATAGAGAATGGTTTCCATCTACTTGCCAATTGCCATAAAAATTACTTGAGCTAATTCAAATAGTAACAACAGTTAGCCACTCCCAAGGGGTAAGTATTTGCTTCATAACAACACATTACCTCAGCATGAGATGTTGGTTCAGCCTTGAGTTTTATAAGCATTAATTCACGTTCTACATGTGGTTCCATTGAGATATCTTCTACCTGATACATAAAAAGGAAATTAAAGTAGAAATGGAAAAATAGTAGATATCGGTCGCATCCCTTTTAAAAAAAGTAAATCCAACACCACCCAAACAAGGAAGAAGAAGAAGATGTAAGAAGTGAAAAATGCAAGAAAAGTAACAGAAATCTTAATTTTATGACCTTGATGACATTGACAAGCTTGTTAAGTTGCTCTACGACTTGTCGCAGAACCCTTTCAGTCCCAGATACAACTATGGTAAACAGAGCCTTGTTCTTGTCGAGACCAACAGCAAGGGACTCAATGTTGTAACCTCTCCTAGCAAACACCCCTGCAATCCTGTTTATTATTCCACTCTCATCTCCAACAAAAACTGAAATTGTGTGGCGTTTCACCCTGAGGAAACAAAATTAAAGCAGCCATTACAATCACTGCGTCGCATTTTGACAAGAACAAACTCTTAATTTACACTTGAAACAAGAATAAGATCTAGCATTTGCACATGGAAAAGACAAGCTCAAGCTCAATAAACCTAATAATAACAAACATCTCCGATTAATGAAACAAGCAAACCCCAAATCCTCATTGTAAAAGAAATGAAAAAGAAAGCCACATGTAAGAATAAAAATGCTCAGAAAACTTAAATAAGTAGCTAGTAAAAGGCAATGAAACAGCAAGGAATTAGAAAGACAGACCTGGAAGAGGTGGCAGGAGACACAGTGTCAGTAAGAGGCAGTGCATTGGCTTTATCAGTAGTAGCAGATAGCACATGCAACCGCCTTGAGCTTGAGCTTAAGAGTGAGAACTCAGCAGCTAATTCCCTTGCTTTGGAGCCAATAGTGTTATTACTAATAATGCTCCTTTGTCTCAAACTTAAATGAAGAAAACCAGTGCTCTGTCTTGAAAATTGGTTTTGGCTCCGAATGGGGGCAGGGTATGGGGAGAGTGAGATTGAGAATGAAGTAGCGGCCATGTCTTCTGGTTTTTTTTAAGAGGGAGAAAAACAGCAGCAAAGTTCATTTTATATTCTTTATCTGTTTGAAGGCAAGACAGGAAAGAGACTCTCTTCTTGCCCCGCGTCACATTTCACGTGTCAAATGTGCACTTATATGTCATGTAACGCATTTTGTCAGCTTCTTAAAACACGTGGTTTTAATTTTTTTTTTATTAGATCAATAAAATAAAATAAAATTTTAATACAAATAAAAATAAAATTTAACTCAAAATTAAGTTCTTAATATCCCCTTAACGCCTTTAGCCATTAGCCCAAAAGGTTGGGGGCGGTTTTAATTCTGAACGTTATAAAATAATAACACTATTGCCTAGCTCTAGTAGTTGACAGCTTTGTACTAATGTGTCACACCAAACTGCAAACTATCCTTTTTTTTTCTACAAAAAACAATTCTCTTATTCACGTTTTTCCTTGCTCGGTCTTATTTTATTTGGTCTTTTTATGTCTTAAAATTAAATTATTTTTCTTTCCTCAATTTATAATATTTTTTTTAAAAAAAAGGGGCGAGTTTTACACTAAATTTATATTTTTTTTAACCTCATAATAAACTCAGCAATATTAATTATTGGACACACAAATTTAATCTTTTAGTTGTCGATTTAAAAAAAAAAGAATACATTGCAATTCGATCTCTCATAAACACTTATAAAATAAAAAAATAAATTACAAATCAAAATAAAGATTCAAATTCAACCAAATTACACGGAATTTCCTTTTAATGTAAATTCTTTGTCTTGGATGAAATTACTAATAGTTTCTTCATTAGGCAACATTAAATTTTTTCTCACTTATTTAGAAATTTGTTGATACATAAGATTTCAATTGTTTTGTGAAAATATGTTTTCAAAAAAAATATTTTTTGAAAGATAAAAATTTTTTATTATTTAGATAAGTCAATTAAAAATGTTTTTTGATTTTTTTTATGAAAAATCTATTTTTTTTTTCAAAGTTCTTATGACTATTCCATTTTATAATATAAAAAATTTACCAAAATATTAAAATAATTTTTTCTTCATTTTATTAATGAATTTCAACAATAATTATGTCGATAAAATGGATAAACATAAACGTTACGTGTCAATATACATCATAAACAAGAATAAAAAAAAGTAAAAGTACTATAATTAATTAAAAATCTATGAAAATTATAAATATAATAAAAAATAAGAGTAAGTGTAAAAAAATATTATTTTAACATAAATAAATAAATTGCCTATATAAAGCTTAAATTAATAGACCTTTTTCAAATCCTAACTACCTTAACGTAAATAAATAAATAATTTTTTATTTCAAAAAAAATTAATAGACCTTTTTCAAATGTTAACATAAAGGTATAAACTCAATACATAAATATATATATATATATATATATATATATATATACTTATGGTTAAAAAGAAAAGACTAATATAAATGTAAAAGAATAGAATTTAAAAGTTAAAAAATTAAAATGTTAACATAAACACATGAGATGTAAAATAAAAAGTGAATTATTAGTGTAAAATGGGAAAAAAACTTAATTTCGTAATCAACTAAAACAAATTATAAAAATTATAAAACATACTAAAATGTAAGAATAAGAATAAACGTAATTTTAATTATTATTTTAAAATCTAAATCAATTGGATTTCTTCAAATATTAATGTAAATGCACAAGCCCAACGGTAAAAAATATATATTTTATCTTAAAATAAGGTCAATTTAAGGTTTGATCGAATTTTAATTAAACTAGAAACATAGCTTATGCGACTACAAGGTTTCTAATGAAGTTAGGTTGGACCGCAAGTGCTACATCCAATGGCCATCAATTTTAGAGTTCTAAAACCTTATAGGCGCCTAAATTTGCCTATGTTCATATTTTTTAAACCACAAGTAACAATTACTTATGTTTTAAGCAAACATCTCAGATAATTTGGTGATAAAAAAAAAAAAAAAAAGCAAATCTTGAAAAACAAGTTCTCTTAAATTTTCAATCTTAATTACCAAGTTGATTTTATTAAAATATTAGTTAACATGTTATTAAGATTCTTAATAATTAAGAATACCAACTGCAATAGGAAAACTTAATCCCTCACAATTTTAGGGTTAGCACATAACGTAATCATATTAGGATGTTGTTGCCGCATGCTTCAAGATTATGGCAGAACTTGGACTTCATGTATGAATAGCCAAATCATGTCCAAATATTACGAAATTTTATTCCAATTATCCTCATACGGTATACAATCAAGGGTTAAAAGTTTCGTTGCCATCGGAGAATCTTAGGCTAAGAAACAAAAAGGTGTTTAAGGAGTTAGCAACCGTATAGCATCAAACACCACCTGAATTTCGAATTCATGTTTAGCAAGGCAATCCAAGTAAAAAAATTTTCGAAATTTACACCAATGATCCTTATCCCATATAAATTCACAGGCTAAAATTGCAAGGCAATCGGAATACAGTAGAGGGAGATGCATCTACATGATATAATCGCATTTGCTTAGAGAATCATGAAATTGACTTTAAGTTTGGGAAAGAAAACAATATCTAAATTTTCTCAAATTTTATAACCATGATTTTCTATCCGTTGTACACACAAATTTTGTATTAAAAAATATAGAACAACGAATCAGATGATAAATTTCAAAATTTTCTATATATCAAGTGTTGGGCACAATTCTTTGTATATTTTATGTACAAAATAATCCTCTTATTTGATCTCCTTGTGAAAAAAGATAAAACACTCAAGGACTTGGGGAAAGCTTGAATCTCAAATGGATAAACGTTATACTCTTAAAGAGTAAGGCTTTAATGACGTTCCACTAATCTCTGTAGGTGAAAGCTTGATCACGGGCAATCCCGTGGGCGAATGTTTGATCACGAAGAATAAGTGGTATGAGAAATCTGAAAGGCTGAAGGCTTGTGATTTCTTTGTTGATCTGCTTGGATTTTAATTGGATTTAGTTAAGAAAGCAAGTGATATCCGGTAGAACTTAATAAGAAAGGCCAGTGGCTTGAGAATCTCTGAAGGATGACTAGGTTTTATTTTTTTTGGAATTGGTCCCCTAGAGTAGACTTATTTAAGGTCAAGCTATCCGTCTTAGTCTTAAGGCTCGTCCAAAATTTAAAAAAATTTGAACAAAAAATTAAAGTTTGTTAAGTAAGTTTTAATATAATTCTTAAATTTATTTAAATTTTGGATCAGATCTTGAATAAAAGAATTAAAATTTGAATTTGACTTGATTCAAATTCACATATATATAATTTTTTTATATATATGTGAATTATATATAAATTAATTCACATATATATAAAAATTAAAAATAAAAATTATATATATTTTATTAATTTTATTTTTTATTTTTATATAGTTTTTACTTTTAATTTATATATATAATTTTTATTTTTATTTTTTATAGATACGTAAATTGAATATAATTCTATTAAATTTAATTGAATCACATTTTTTTAATTTTTTAATTATATAAATTAAATTTAATTGTGAGCTTGAGATTTATTTTTTAAATTTGGGTAAGACTTGAGAAAATTTTAAAAGTTAAAATATCATGCCAAATCAGGTTTAGACAAGCATATAAGCTATTAATACCAAATATGAGTCAGATCCGAACCCGACCCATAAGCACCTCTAGCTTGGAGGAAGTCTTTATTTATAGTGCTTAGGTGATACTTGCGAGAGTGTTCCAAAAAACTTAATCACTTTGATTTATCTCTGAATAAATAATAGATAATAAAGATGAATCATGGATATAACTTAATTGGATTATCCATAAGTCATAAAGTTTTGATTGGCTTTACCAAATGATTTTGATAAATTTTTTGTTAATTTATTTGACCCAATTATGAAGTCCAAGTTAATTAACCCAAGTTAACCTATCACAAGTCATGTTCTATTTGTTTGTAACCTATTAGATTCTATAACATGTTGGCAATAAATATAAGTATTGTACTTCTTAATGGATTAGGATTAGATAAATCAAACAATTTGAGTTCATTATTAATTCTCCAATTAATCAATCTTATATCTATAGATCATGGTTGTCATCTAGCAATGAGTCATTACCCTAATTGTTAAGAATGATCAATGAGGTTTGACCACCTATTCCTGCTTAGTTTTTCAATATAATTATTATCATTTTATTGCTTAATATATTGGTTTAACATTGAGCACAGATAAGTATCTACTCAATTTGTTCAACCATGTTATGTTTTAGGTTAGCCAATTAACTCTTTGAATAAGCTTTTTAATCATTTCAAAACTTCATTCCACTTTGGCCAGAGATTACTTGAGCTAATCCTTACCCAACCTAATTAAAATATTCTCTTAATCACTCAAAATGATTAATCCTATATTGATTACTTATGTATATTCATATGTCTCATGTTATACCTAACAATACTTTACTATGACATTCATGGTTAGGACCACAAGTAAAATAAAACCAAAGTATAACACTCCTCATATAAAATTAGTAATCTCAAATTAAAGGATCACGTATACAACTACAACATCAGAACGTAGCTAAAGAGACTAAATGATTAACCAAATTATATTATCATAGTAGATCTTGTTTAGTGAACTTGTTCTTATAATAAGTATTGATGACTCTAATTTTTATAGTGTTTTATAGGCCATTTTAGAACTTAAATTTTAACATTTACATTAATTTTAGCCTAATTTTAAATTATTTATACTTCTAATGTGCTTAAATTCTCATTTTGTAGAAAAATAAGGAAAAATATGAAAATTGGTTAAAAAATGTGTAATTTGACTGAATATGGTGCACTTATGATAATTGAAATATGCATGCAAGCTAGCAAGCCTAAAGAAAGGTGGCAAAGCCCAAAATTCATGCAAAAATCCATGCATATAGGTTCAACCAAAGATGTAATTTCTTAAATAGGCAAAACCATGATACCTATGATGTTTCTCACTACACAAGATTAATCTTAGATGACATGGCACTGTATATAGGTAGCTTGTGATGTGGCATATGACATTGCTAGAAGATGTGCATGTATGTGCATGAAATGGCAGCAAAATAGGAGAAATTTAAAAGTCATGCATGAAATGCATGAAATAAAGAAACCATGTAAAGGTGGCAAGAGCATTCGACCAAAACCTCAAGCCCATTCC